AGTAGATTAGCAAAGCCAGTTCGAGAGCAGAAATCTTGACATAACCTCGAACCTCGCAAACCGCGAGATTAGAGTTTTTGTGTTTGAGTTTTCAGATTCGATTTAACTAGCATTAGTGCGTTTCAATAACTCGAGGTTCTCCTCAAAAAACTCCAGGTCAGTATTAGATGCAAAAGCAACACGTCTTCCAAATACAAGAAACCCCACGGCTGCCATAGATAAGTATTCTTCCTGCTCTTTTCATTTTCTTGAAGAGGATACTTGGCAAAAAAATGGCCAAATATAAAATTCTGTAGGCTTTAATAAGGTTTGTGGCTAGATGACCAATGCACTGATAATGCTGGACTTCAGTTCGATACGATAAATCATAAACTACTTGTCTCTATTCTGCATTATATCCTCGTTGCCAATAAATCGAGTTCTAACCGCATTCTATAATAATAAGCATTTTGCATCGCCATTTCGGCTGGGAACCACAGGGTAGAATTATGACTCGCTTGTTATATACTATTTACACTTCTAGTTTTAGCGAGTCATTGGAGCTTTGCAGTCAGCAGCCCTGTGCGGATGATACTCAGATCTACTATTCATTTCCAGTTACTAAAATTAAAGAAGTAGAAATTATAACTAACGCTGATCTGTGCAAATTTAATCAAGCTGCAGCTTAACCCAACTGAATCGTCAGTGTTACTCTTTGGCAATGATTCTCAGATACTTGAGGTAAAAGATGTTATGCATAAAAGGTGAATGTAATACCTCTCTCATATTCACATACAGGCGAATATTTAGGTTTGATACTGCATTCTGTGATTTAAAGATCACATTAAGAACAGTTAGGTTAAGAACAGGAAGGTGGAACTCAACAATCAACTATAGATCAGGGCTGTTTTTCATACTTTTTTACCCTTTTCTTGTGTGACGTAATAGATTGTATATGTATCACTAGACTTGAGCAGAATCTGGTTCTTGCAGATTCCATTTTGTTGATAATATGTTAAGTGAGAATTATTATAATTCGAACTGTATTTCTAGTACAACCATTATTATTATTATGCTGATTATTTTTAGATCATTATCTTCAACTAGGCTTTGTTAGTTAGGTTAAGTAGGTATTTTCGTCGTATTTAAAAAACAGAACTTTTAGTATTTTTTATATTGTGTTTATACGATAAACAGTAAAGGTCGATTATCTTTGATTATTATTAAATTTAGGCCGCAGGCAAATAGATAAGCAAAGCTGATTTCGGAGCAATCATCTTGGAATAACCTCAAACACTACGCCCAACGGGGAGGAGTGGAAACAACGATTTTTTTTCTACACAATATTGAGCTCTAATGAGTTTTTATTAACCCGTATTATCCCAAGCACAAAAAAATACCTTTTTGCTCGTAAATTATTTATTTTGTTTCACTTAAGAATACATTACATGTGTCAAAAAAAAAATCGAAACGTACAAAAAAATACTGTTACGTAGTTCAAATTCGACAGTAAACAACTAAAAATAGATTGTTTTCCAAATAGAACCTGATTTGATACAAAAAACGCATAATATTTTATGGTGAGCGCACCACTGGTAACACCCGGTTTCATTTTTGGTGATATTTTACAAAGCATAAAATATGTAATTGCACATTACACTCATTACAATTGTAATGTTTCAAGCGGAGTTTTTCCAGAAAGCCTATTTTTTCGTTCCTTGCATGATCTAAATTCATCGGATATAGGTGTGCGAGTGTATTCAATCTGACTTCTCTTCCATTTGACAGTAGAATTGCTTCTACTGTCGTTTGCAGACGGCGTACGTCTTCTTTTCAATTCCAGGGTTTTGCATCTCAGTTTCAGTAGTTGATGAATTACAGGACTGTTGACGGACAGCTGTATCATTCGGTGTATATAACTCGAAAGTTCCAACCATATCAGTTGGTTCCCCAAACTCTTTTAGATTTATGTTATCGTTCATATCTTCTTCATCAGTCGGGTGAAATATAGACCGCGTGACTATGTTCTGTAAATATTTTTTCACGTTACTTTTAGCTTAAATTTACAAGTAATGAAATGCTACAATACATAAGAATACGTCAATCCAAATAAGGCTTCCGACTATTATTGTTATTGTCCTCATCCATCACGATCTTCTCCATAGCCGCCTCCAATTCCTTTTGAGTCAAATACCTCGGAAATGCCATATTTTACGAACTGTAACATTTATTGCACAAGGCACAATGAAAAAAATCCAAACTTTTAAAATCAGCCTGCGGGCCGCACAAAAAGCCAGATTTAAAAAGGCCCATTCCGATCCGGCCCCTCCGAGCGATTAAAATAAAAGAAAAAACGCCCGACGAGGAGATTGGAAGTAGCTAACGACGTGTAAGTAACGATCTGGAGAATCAATTGACGTTTCCTCGTTAAACTTCCCGTACGTCTGGTTTCTTCTGCCGCTTCCGCCGCCCCGTGCTAATCCCGACGAAGGGAAACTTGTTTAACGAGCTTTTCTTTTTGCACGTCTACGAGGGTTCGTTTAATTTTTGTTCCCCCGCCACCGCCCCGTAATTAGTTGTTCGTTTGCGAAACTTTTTTATTCCGCGAGCTTCTACGAAGACGCTTCCATCAAAACCGGACACTTTCCGACAAGTACGATAGGCCAAATTTTGTGCGATTAGTGCCGTGATAAAATATGGGCCTTTTGTTGCCAGACCATTGCGTAATGGGTGTATGACATAGGAAGTCGTGCTCAAACGAATCGAAAAGACGAAAAGAAAGTTAGACTCGCGAACCGATGGTTGACAGTTAAGATTTCATTAATTTTAAATGATTACTGCTACAGCAATAAATTACGGTGTTGGTTAGTAACCGACAAAGACAGTCTAGTAATGGTCGAATGACATCGGTGATCGTGTTCAAACGGATTGAAAAGAAGAAAAGTTGGTTAGGCCCGCGAATTGGCTTAAATTTTTGATTGATTGTTGACAGTTGAGATTGCTGTTTTTTTTTGCTTCTAGTAGTTCGTTGTTATTGTTTATTGTTGAAATCAGAGTTCAGGCAAGCAAATGAAAACATTTTTAGGAAATTATATAATTACTACCTGAATCGACATTTCAGCACATCAACAAAAAACTAACCAGGAGTCACCCATATACGAAATCTCATAAAATTTTCTGGCTATTTGTCGAATTTCAAAAATCATAATAAAAATATCATTATGATATGCGGAACTAACGAATATTAGGTAAAACAGCGACTGTAAGGCAAACCTTAGATAAAATACTATTCAGTGGAAGAATTATTTAAGAATGAAAATATTAAATTGTATTTGATTAAGTTTGACAACTTGACGATTTGTTTTTTACCATGTTTTCTATGTTGACGATCCCATAATAGCATAGCATAGCATAGTGGAAACACACACATATCACAGTGAAAGTGAACTAGTAGAAGATAAGGAAAATTAACAAAACCAGTGTAATATCAAGCTGTGTACAGATAAATAGAAAAAGATAATGCTGTTTCGGCAACACCGTGCTGTTATCAAATACAAAATATGGTAGTAAGAGATACTTAATTACAAATATAGGGTTATAAATTTAAATTTAGTTTTTTGCTTTTTGAATGATTATGTAGGATATCAAAATTATCGTGAAAGTTGTGCATTTCTGAATTTAAATTAATGGCATAGTTATATGTAAGTTTTAGGACAAGGTCCACATTTCAACTTGTAAACTCCACATTTTTGAGTTTTTCGTAATTTAGTTTTAATCCAAATTCCAAATTTAGATAGATATTTTGAAATTTTCTTGCTAGGTTTTTTGTATGGAGGTTAATAAAATCAGGTATTCGAAATGGACCCACTGGATTTAAATGCGTCTCCGCTGTTAAATTTAAATTTATAACCCTATACCTGCAATTAAGATTCTATTACTAACTGCTTTAATATAAAAGTGTCGGAATATGGTCATATTTTGTATTTGATAAATGCATGGTGTTGCCGAAACAGTTGTCATAAAGTATTGAAAATTGTGAAAATCTGAACATTTTTCGTTTGTTTTCATCAAGTAAAAGCCACCTCGGTCCAATAAAGAAAATCTCGGTTTTGTGGTCCTACGAAGAAAAAAAATGAAATTATAAATATTTCTATACTATCATCTCTTTTCAAACCAGTTCACAACTCTTACTCAGGAGTGAAACTAACATTAATGGTATTTAAAAAAATATTATGATGCAAACAATTTAATTCCTTCAGGTTTACTCCGAGAACATACGGAATGAAGAGGGCCCGAAGATTCTAGGGTACGTCCAACTTTCCAGGGGGTGCGAAAAGTTATGAAAATATTCCTCGGCTCTTTTTTATTTATCACCGCGCTATTTAAACGGCGGAACGTTAAAACCGCCACTCTGGCAAACCGATATTAAGCAATAAATTTGCAAATATGACACTTCGCATCCGTTTCCAAATCTAAAGTTTAATAAAAGTGCGAATTTATGTGAAAACGGGCGGATACGACCACTGAGCGTCTAGTGTAGATAATAATTTACCGTTTCGACCACAGAATGCTGAGGTGAAGCTTTGGCTAGTCGCTTCGAACGAATGCGAAACATTTGCTTTGCGGACAACGTTGCCGGTTCTACTCAATTAACCAATTAGTCGTATTAAAAGCGCCACAAGAAAAAGTTCACGTCCGTATTTACGACAAATAAACGTCAGCGATGCCGTTAGTTATCGCCGTCTCTCTCTCTCTCTCTCTCTCTCTCTCTCTCTCTCTCTCTCTCTCTCTCTCTCTCTCTCTCTCACGGTATCCCTCGTGAATCAAAACAATTTGAAGCAATTACACGGCGGATCCGGAGGACGTTGTTTACGGCGAAACTACTGCGGCAAATACGGCGCATCGGCCCTGACAAGGAGGAGCGGCTGACACGGATGACGTCGCCACCCCACCCCACAGTTATTAACGTTTACTGCAATTTACTGCCCAAACAAACGCGGTCTACGGACTCTCGTACTTACCGGGATGAACGGCGTCGCCTACCACGATGAACGTTATCTCCAGCGCCAGCAAAAACAACGACACCTGCAAAAATAAACATTACCGATTCAAATCTAGAAGATACGGTACAACGGTACAAGTCCATTAGGCATTCGATCAAAGTTGAGTGATAAACGAGGTTATCTCATCTTTTTTTTATTTGATTGAGAAGGAATTCAGAAGATGTAAATAGTACTATCTCATCATGTAGTGAGGTTAGAGAAAGATGGACAAAATGTAGGTTAAATTTATCAATTATGTTTATTATGTTTTAAAATTCAGAAACGCGTTTTACGGACTAGCCATGGAATGCTTATGTAAAAATGCTTATATGCATATATGCTCTCAAGAAACTCAGATATTCAGTACAATTTAACAACGAATATTAACATAAAAATACCTACACACCGACTGTCTCTTACATCAAATAGTTATTTAGACTGTAAAAATTTATAATAAATTGCCTATCGAACTAAAGGAGATAGCTAGTCAAACAAAATTCAAATGCACACAACAACAAGTTATTGTTGAATTCGCCAAATTCAACGCAGCTTAGATTTGAGATTGACGTTCAGCAATATTGAATCTCCTAAACACTCAGAACGTCAACAATTATTTGATAGATGCGATCCTATAGCACCGTAGGAGAGAGAAAACAGAATGTAAAGTAAAACAGCCTACTTTACGTTGTGCGAGCTTATAATAGTTGGACGTCTTCGCAGGGTAAGCTGATAAAGCGTCGGTCGCTTTTTCAAAGGGACCGGGTTCGATCCCGGGAGTCTCCGAGTAATTTTTCCATCTATTTTCGTATCGGAAAATATTTAAATAAAAATTTTGTTGAAAAAAAATAAAGAAAGCTCGTAAAAAACGGGGGCAAGTTTCGAAAAGTTGTTCGAGTATATTAAAATCGAACGTCTACACAGGCAAAGGTGATAAAGCGTCGGTCGCTTTTTCAAAGATTCCGTGTTCAATCCCTGGCGTTTCCCAAAAATTTTTTCGTCTATTTTCGTACAAGAAAAAATTATTTTAAAAAAAATTTTGAAAAATAAATAAACAAAATATTAAAAAACGGTGCAAGTTTCAAAACGTTTGCGAGCGTATCAAAATCGAACGTCTTCGCAGGCTAAGGTGTTAGAGCATCTGTCGTTTTTTCAAAGGTCCCGGATTCAATCCCGGACGTTTCTGAATAATTTTTCCATCTATTTTCCTATCGGAATAAAATTATTTCAATAAAATAAAGTATTTAAATACAAATTTTAAAAAATAAGTAAACGGTATACGAAAAAAACGAAAAATAAAATATTTGAATACAAATTATGAAAAATAAATAATCACAATACCTCGTAAAAAAACGTTAAAAAAAACTGGGCAAGTTTCGAAACGTTATGCGAGTGAATTGAAGTGGAACGTCTACAGAGGCAAAGGTGATAGAGCGTCAGTCGCTTTTTCAAAGATTCCGGGTTCGACCCCGGACATTTCCCAAAAATTTTTTCGTATAGGAGAAAATTTATTTAAAAAAATTTAAATATTAGAACACGGAGCAAGTTTGAAAACGTCTGCGAGCGTATCAAAATCGAACTTCTTCGCAGGCTAAGGTGTTAGAGCATCTGTCGCTTTTTCAAAGGTCCCGGGTTCGATCCTGGACATTTCTCAATAATTTTTCCATCTATTTTCGTATCGGAATAAAATTATTTCAAAAAAATAAAATATTTAAATACAAATTTTGAAAAATAAATACACAAAATACGGAAAAAACGAAAAATTAAATATTTAAATTACAAATTTTGAAAAATAAGTAAACAAAATTCGAAAAAAACGGCGCAAGTTGCGAAACGCGATTGCCAAAGGATCGAGGAGGATAATTAACTTTCTGTAATGCACTGCTAGCGTTGCTTTGTGTTGCGTCGCGGCTGTCGACGCTGGTTTAACTCGATTTTTTCGAGCGCCGCGACACCGACCGTCTCCCGTGATCGAATTAAAGTGTATTTGTGCCCGGGCGAGTTTAATTTCCTCCGCTTTTGTCGCGAAAATGAGCGGGAAAAGTGGCTTCTAGACACCCAACTAATTTTTTTGTTTTGTAATGTTCTTGTCGTTACTTTTATAAAACCCCCGTAGCTTTTAAATGGAGGATCTCATACTCCTTATCAATTTGTAACTAAAAGGTTGGTTACCTTTCAAAGAAACTATAAGGTTGTTCGGAAAGTCATTTCGTTTTTTCCCGTCAGAGGACTTAATTACGTTTTTTCGAAACCAACTTCACACTTAAGCCGCATAACCATTATATGTCTTGAGAGCTGATATTGCAAGGCTTGTGTGTGAAAAAGTTCTATTAATTCTACGCAGTAGTTTTTGGTTGGTGCCCTTTTAAATATGGAGAGCAATAAGCAGCATTTTAGTCATATTTTACTTTTTTACTTCAGAAAAGGTAAAAATGCTCTCCAAGCGAGAAAAAAATTGACGGATGTGTATGGAGAAGGCGTGTTAACAGTACGCCAGTGCCAGAACTGGTTTGCAAAATTTCGATCCGGCAATTTTGATGTCGAAGATGCACCACGGTCTGGAAGGTCGGTCGAAGCTGACAAAGATGCGATAAAGGCATTAGTTGATGCAAATCGGCGAATAACCACACGAGAGATCGGTGAGAGATTAAATTTGTCGAATTCGACTGTTTATGGCCATTTGAAAGGCATGGGCTTAACCTCAAAGCTCGATGTGTGGGTGCCCCATGTCCTTACGGAGCGAAATTTGTGTCGTCGCGTTGACGTGTGTGATTCGCTCCTCAAACGTCAAGAAAATGATCCACTTTTGAAGCGGATTATTACTGGGGACGAAAAATGGGTTGTATACAGCAATGTTAAACGCAAGAGGTCATGGAGCAGAAAAGATGAACCGGCTCAAAGCGTGTCAAAAGCCAACATTCACCAAAAAAAGGTGATGCTCTCCGTTTGGTGGGATGTCAAAGGAATCGTTTTTTTTGAGCTTTTGCCGGACAATACAACGATTAATTCAGAAGTCTATCGTCATCAACTGGACAAATTGAATGATTCACTTAAAGAGAAGAGGCCCGAATTAATCAACAGGAAGGGTGTAGTGTTCCACCAGGATAATGCGAGATCTCACGCAAGTTTGGTCACTCGCCAAAAACTTTTACAGCTTGAATGGGACGTACTGCAACGTCCACCATATTCTCCAGATCTGGCGCCTTCCGACTACTATTTGTTCCGGTCCCTGCAAAATTTTTTGGATGGCAAAACCTTTACCTCAAATGAAGATGTCAAAAACCACCTGAACCAGTTTTTTGCCAGCAAGGACCAAAACTTTTATGAGAGGGGAATTATATTACTGCCAGAAAGATGGCAAAAGGTGTTGGACCAGAATGGCCAATATATAATTTAATAAAATATTTATTCATTATACGAAAACTGTCTTTCATGTTCCCCAAAAAAAACGAAATGACTTTCCGAACAACCCAATATATAAAAATCATCTGGGATTCCTCCAGTTAATCTCTGAAAAAGTCAACAAGGTGATGACGGAAGATTTGCAAATTTATTATTATAAATGTTAATGTTAAACGAAACATTTTGGAAATTGTTGTTGTTGAAAGTGATGCGGTTTTGTTGGTCAAAGAATTATTTCCAGATATAAGCAGTCTGGCAAGATTGATGATTACGCACTTTTCTCGCAGTATAGAGACTGTTATAACTCATATTCATATAGGGTAAACGCTGAAGATCGGGTGCTTATCCTAATTGCATACATACAAAAAACATGAAGGGGATGTTCCTGACTATAAATTTGACTATGGTTTGGACTTAAATGTCATTAACTTTACTTTACTTTACTCTCCGAATATTTGCGGGGATAGATAGCCTTCGGTCTAAGTACTCGTACTAAATATTTCATCTATTTTATTAAAAAAATGTGTGTGTACCTCGAGTGGGCCCCCTCCACCACATTTTTAATGCTTCCTTATGGTCTGATGTTTTTCCTGATTACTGGAAATGAAGTTATTTAAGGCCAATTCACAAATGTGGTGACAGAAGCAATATTAGTAACTATAGAGCTATATGCATACAATCTGTCATTCCAAAACTTTTTGATATACTATTCTGTCAGCCTATTTGCTGGTATTGTAAAAAAATTATGTGTGACAACCAACACGGGTTTTTTCAGGGCAGGCCCACTGTGACTAACCTGCTGATTTATCAGCTGGATCTGCCGGGTGCTTTTGAGAAGTCTAAACAAGTGGACACTGTCTACACGGACTTTCATGAGCATCTTGTCCGTAAGTTTCGGGCCATGGGGCTGGGTGGTAATCTGGTTGAATTTTGTCACAGCTTTTTGACAGAGCATACACAGCAGGTCCGAATCAACAATTATGTTTCCAGCGAAATTGTGGTGCACTAGAGTTTGCCTCAGGGCTCACACGTAGGTCCGGTTTTCTTTAATTTTTTCTTTAATAATAATGTCAGTTCGTGGTGCATAGAAAATGGTCTGGATCTAAATGTTGGAAAGTATGTTAGTGTTACTTTTTCGCGCTTAACGAACACCCTTCAAAATAGGTATATTATTAACAATACAACGATAGAGTGTGTCACCAAAGTTAGGGACCTTGGAGTCGTCTCTGACAGTAAACTGACCTTTTTGGATCAGCTGGAGGATATTGTTAACAAGGGCATGAGAGGTCCGTGTTTTATTACCCGTAATAGTACACTGCTCTCATCCGACTGTTTAAAAACCCTTTATTGCATCTTAGTTAGATCTACACTGGAGTATGCCTCAGTAGTGTAGTCTCCACATTACAAATGTCACATTCATAGATTGGAGACTGTTCAGAGGGCGTTTCTGAGGTCCCTAGCATATAGAGCGGGTATAAATATCTACAATAACTTTCACATTAATTATTTTCTGGTATGTGAGCCTTTTGGGATAGATAGTCTGGAAATTAGAAGAACCCACTCCGATATCTTGACGTTTTATAAAATTTGGAACGGTGTATATAACTGTCCGGCTCTCCTCCAGTCCATTGATTTTACCATACA